TGTTCATCATGGATATTGGCCTGAAGTTTTCTTTTTTAGTTGTGTCTCCACCAGATTTTCGTATAAGGATGATGTTGGTCTCAGAGTTAGGGAGGATTCCCTCTTTTTGGATTGTTTGGAATAGTTTCAGAAGGAATGGTACCAGCTCCTATTTGTACGTCTGTTAGACTTTGGCTGTGAACCCCTCTGGACATGGACTTTTTTTTTGGTTGGTAGACTATTAATTGCTAGCTCGACTTCAGACCTTGTTATTGTTCTATTCAGGGTTTCAACTTCTTCCTGGCTTAGTCTTGGGAGTGTGCAAGTGTCCAGGAATTTATCCATTTCTTCCAGATTTGATGTCCATAGAGCTGTTTGTAGTAATATCTGATGGTAGTTTGCATTTCCAAGGAATCAGTGGTGATCTCTCCTTTATCATTTTTTATTGCATCTATTTGATTCTTCTGTCTTTTCTTTTTTATTAGTCTAGCTAGCAGTCTGTGTATTTTGTTGATCTTTTCAAAAAACCAACTCCTGGATTTATTGTTTTTTGAAGGGTTTTTTGTGTCTCTATCTCTTTCAGTTTTGCTCTGATCTTAGTTATTTCTTGTCTTCTTCTTGCTTTTGAGCTTTGTTCTTGCTCCTCTAGCTCTTTCAATCTTGATGATAGAGTGTTGATTTTAGATCTTTTCTTGTTTCTCATGTGGGCATTTATTGCTGTAAGTTTCCCTCTAGACACTGCTTTGTGTCCCAAAGATTCTGCTATGTTGTGTCTTCATTCTCATTGGTTTCAAAGATCATTTTTATTTCTGCCTTCATTTCATTGTTTATTCCTTCATCATTCAGGAGCAAGTTGTTCAGTTTCCATGTGATTGTGCAGTTTTGTGTGCTTTTCTTAATCATGAGTTCTAATTTGGTTGTGCTGTGGTCTGAGAGACTGTTATGACTTCTGTTCTTGTACATTTGCTGAAGTTATTTATTTCCAATTATGTGGTCAATTTTACAGTAAGTGTGATGTGGTGCTGAGAAGAATGTGTACTCTGTGGATTTGGGGTGGAGAGTTCTGTAAATGTCTATTAGGTCCACTTGTTCCAGATCTGTATTCAAGTCCTGGATATCTTTGTTGACTTTCTGTCTCATTATCTGTTCAATATTGTCAGTGGAGTGTTAAAGTCTCCCACTATTATTGTGCGGGAGTCTAAGTCTCTTTGTAGGTCTCTAAGTACTTGCTTTATGTATCTGGGTGCTCCTGTATTGGGTGCGTATATATTTAGGATCATTAGCTCTTCTTGTTGCATTGATCCCTTTACCATTATGTAATGCCCTTCTTTGTCTCTTTTGATCTTTGTTGGTTTAAAATCTGTTTTATCAGAGACTAGGATTACAACCCCTGCTTTTTTTTGCTCTTCATTTGCTTGGTAAATCTTCTTCCATTCCTTTGTTTTGAGTCTATGTGAGTCTTTGCATGTGAGATGGGTCTCCTGAACACAGCTCACCAACGGGTCTTGACTTTATATCCAGTTTGTCAGTCTGTGTCTTTTGATTGGAGCATTAGGCCATATACATTCAACATTAATGTTATGCTTGAATTTGATCCCACCATTTTGTTACTGGTTGGTTGTTTTGCCCGTTAGTTGATGTGGTTCCTTCATTGTGTCATTGTTCTTTACCATTTGGTTCTTTTTTGCAGTGGCTGGTACTGGTTGTTCCTTTCCATGTTTAGTACTTTCTTCAGGAGCTCTTGTAATGCAAGTTTTGTAGTGATGAAATCTCTCAGCAATTGCTTACCTGTATTTGTCCTTCACTTATTTGTCCTTACCTTTTATTTGTCCTTCACTTATGAAGTTTAGTTTGGCCGAATATGAAATTCTGCGTTGAAAGTTCTTTTATTTAAGGATGTTGAATATTGGCCCCGACTCCCTTCTAGTTTGTAGAGTTTCTGCCAAGAGATCTGCTGTTTGCCTGATGGGCTTCCCTTTGTGGGTGACCCAATGTTTCTCTCTGGCTGCCTTTAGAAATTTTTCCTTCATTTCAATGCTGGTGAATCTCACAATTATGTGCCTTGGGGTTGCTCTTCTAGAGAAATATCTTTGTGGTGTTCTCTGTATTTTTTTTTTTTTTTGAGACAGAGTTTCGCTCTTGTTACCCAGGCTGGAGTGCAATGGCGCCATCTCGGCTCACCGCAACCTCCGCCTCCTGGGTTCAGGCAATTCTCCTGCCTCAGCCTCCTGAGTAGCTGGGATTACAGGCACGTGCCACCATGCCCAGCTAATTTTTTGTGGTTTTAGTAGAGACGAGGTTTCACCATGTTGACCAGGATGGTCTCGATCTCTTGACCTCGTGATCCACCCGCCTCGGCCTCCCAAAGTGCTGGGATTACAGGTGTGAGCCACCGCGCCCGGCCTGTATTTCCATGATTTGAATGTTGGCCTGCCTTGTTAACTTGGAAAAGTTCTCTTGGATAAAATCTTGAATAGTGTTTTCCAACTTGGATTCATTCTCCCCGACACATTCAGGTATGCTGATCAAGCGTAGATTAGGTCTTTTCACATAATCCCATAGTTCTTGGATGCTTTGTTCATTTTTTTCACTCTTTTTCCTCTAATCTTGCCTTCTCATTTTATTTCATTGATTTGATCTTCTATCTATGATATCCTTCTGCTTGATTGATTCAGCTGTTGAAACTTGTGTATGCCTCACGAAGTTCTCGTGCTGTGTTTTTCAGCTCCATCAAGTCATTTATGTTCTTCTCTAAGCTGGCTATTCTAGTTAACATTTCATCTAGCCTTTTTTCAAGGTTCTTAGTTTCTTTGCATTGGGTTAGAACATGGTCTTTTAACTCAGAGTTTGTTATTACCCACCTTCTAAAGCCTGCTTCTGTCAATTTGTCAAATTCATTCTATGTCTTGTTTTGTTCCCCTGATTGTGAGGAGTTGTGATCCCTGGGAGGAGAAGGGGTGTTCTGGTCTTTGACAGTTTCTTCTTTTTTGTGCTAGTTTCTTCCCATCTTCATGGATTTTTCTCCCTTTGATCTTTGAAGTTGATGATTTGGGGAGGAATCTCTGAGTAGATGTCCTTTCTGTTAAGTTTGGAGCTATATCTTTTTTGGCCTGTAGAAGCGATGCTGGGCTGCCTGAGATTCAGTCAGGCTGCTGGGTGGGTGGTCTTCCCCTGGCATTTGTTTGCAGGCGAGATTAGCCCCACCTTCCTACTGGCGTCTCTCCTTCCCCAGGCTCCATCTTCCCAGTCAAACTGGCATATTTGCTGCCAAGCTGTCTAGTGCATGGGCTTCGGTTTGAGTTTTGTGGGGATGGGGCCTGCCAGGCCTTATGGCCTGTTTCCCTGCTTTCAACTCTGCCTCTCTCTGTGGGTCCATCCCACTGGCAATAGTCCGAACTTCCACCCAGGTCCGTGCCAACAACTTGTGGCACCAGGCTGAAGCTGTTGCTCACATTTGCACTGACAACCCATGGTGCCCCTCAGTCTGGCAGGGCTGTTGTGGACCAGGTTGCAGGAGGGATGAGGTAAGCACAGGATCCGAATCAGAGCACCAAGGGGGTGAAGTCCCCAACCCATCGAGCCGGCTGCATGTTCCAGGTGGGGACGCATCCTGCCCTGTCTTGGTTTGCCCTCTCTGGGCGCCTCTCATCCTGCTTCAGCGCCTTCCCTGGGCTATTATTTTCAGTGTCCTACCAGTCCCACTGAAAAAAACCTGGCACCTAGCTTGGAATTGTGAAGTCCTCTTGCCCTCTGCATCTCATTCACTGGGAGCTGCATTCCGGTGTTGTCTCCTCTCAGCCATCTTGGGGCCTCCCAATTTGTGTTGTTTTTAAACCACTTGTCTTAGTTCATTTGGGTTGTAATAAAATACCATAAAATGGGTAACTTATAAACAACAGGAATGTATTTCTCAGTTCAGGAGGCTGGAAGTCCAAGATCAGAGTGCTGGCAGATTTGGTGCCTGGTGAGAGCCCACTTCTGATTCATTGATGGCACCTTCTAGATGTGTCCTCATATAGTAGAAGGAACAAGGGAGCTTTTGTGGGCCCCTTTTGTAAGGGCACTAATCCCATTCATCAGTGTTCTATCCTCATGACCTGCTCACCTCCCAAAGGTTTCACCTAATGGCATCACCTTGGGAGTTAGGATTTCAACATAATGAATTTGGGAGTGGGAGGCACAAATATTCAGACTATAGCACCACTAGTTTATGGTAATTTATGATTACACAAATACAGTATGTTAATTAAGCTCTCTCAACCTCAAGATCTATATGAATAAAGGAATATAATAGCAATTTCCTTGACTGGTTTGTTCTGAGGAATGAAATCTGTGATTTAAATGACGGTGACCCAAAAACGTCATCAGTTAATATACCTATTAAGTTTCTAGTAATTCATGCCTGCTTTAGGAAATATTATGAACTTCAACATCTAAAATCTTCCTGATAATGCTTTGATATGGAGAATATCTACAATCTTTTTATTCAGGGCTCAGATAATGCCATTTCCCTCAAGTGCAGAATACTGGCCAGAGACTGTTCTGATTGTTCAGTTCTGGGGTTTAAATATTCTGAATATTGACATTTCCTCAAGACTAGGAGAAAGGGTGTGCTTCATCCTAGTGCATCACGAAAACGATCTGAGAGAAGATGAAGCCCATTAGGCAGAGCAACTACTGTTAAACAGCTTAGCAGAGAAAGAAGAGAAAATTACCTTCCTGAAGAAGCAAATTCAGTGAGCCCAGAGTCCATGGTAAATTAATCACGGGCAAAAATCATTTCATTTGCAGGGCCAGCTACATGAACCTGCAATCTGTGTGGTAGCACGGTTCCTCAGGCTTAAAAGGCCCCACAGGTGGTTTAAAGCTTTATCATCAATGTCTCAAGATTATTAATAATTTTTGAACAAGATGTTCTACATTTGTATTCTGCACTAGGTCCTGCAAATTATGTTATACTCTCTGACGCTGTGTGCATGGAAGGGATGAATTATTTTTTGCTTCATCTAATATACCTTTTATTTTATAATTGAATTTTTTATTTCAAGCTAGTTGTAATTCACATGCAGTTGTAAGAAATAGTACAGAAAGATCCCACGTCTTCTTTACTCAGTTTCCCCCAAAGGTAATACCCAAAAAACTGCACTAGAATATCACAACTAAGATAATGACCACTGATACAATGAGGAAACAAAACCCATCCATTCTCACAGAGATCCACACCACCTTTTCTCCATGCTACGCCTTCTTCTTCACTCACCTATCCATAACCCTCATTCTCTATCTGCACAATTTTGTCATTTCAAGAATGTTACGTAAATTTAATCATGTGAAATGCAATCTTTGGTAATTGGCTCTTCTAACTTAGCCTAAGTAGTTTGAGATTCAAGGGAGTTTTGTATGCATCCATAGTCTGTTCCTTTATACTGCTGAGTAGTATTCCATTTTATGCCTGTAACAGCGTTTACTTAATTATTCACTCATTGTGAGACATATGGTTTTTATAGATTCTGGCTAGTAAGAATAAAGCTGCTATGAACATTGTATATACAGGCTTTTGTGTAAATACATGTTGTCATTTATGTGAGAGAAATGTCTACAAATGTAGTAACTAGATTGTATGATAGTAGAGCATTAAAAGAAACTGTCAGAGTCACCAGATGGCAGAATAAAAAGGTCTAAACTCTCCTTCCTCACCGTGGACACATCAGTTCAACAGCAACACACAGATAAATTTCCATCATTGGAAATCCAGAATCTAATGAGCCACTCCTGCGCTCGAGGTGAGTGTGAAACTATCCACATCAGAACTGGCAGGAAACAACTTGCACACACTGTGATAATAATCCCCAGCCCTCATGTGATGCCACATGTTTGGGAAGGAACTCCCATCTCTCAGCCTATTCCTGAGGAGGGGATACCTAGAGAAGCTGTGAAGCCTATCTGGTACTTCTCTAGGTATTACTAGAGGGATTGGTTTCTTTTTTTTCTTATTATCCCCTTGGTTGAAGAGAGGAACTGGTTTCTAACTTCCGTTTTGGTGAGCTGACAGGGCCCAGCATCTGTTAAACCTCTGGGGCTACACAAAACAAAACAACAGTTGTTTTTTAAATAGTAATTGTTACAGCCGTGTTACTTCAAATATTTTCAGAGCAGTTTTTAATAAGCATGTGGGTACTTCACTGCTCCCCACTTTGGCTCAATGCAGAGTGATAAAGCCCAGCCTCCAGCTTCTCTCTGAAAAGCAAAGGGGACAGACCAAATAACTAGCCCCCCAGCTTTTCTGGCCACTACCTGGGAACTGGATTTTATCTCATGTGTCTGAGCACTGAAAGGATCTGGCATACTCTAGATGCCTGAGGACCATTAAGAACAAACATTGTGACTTCAACTACCATGACAGTTTAAGTGGCACACAGAACCTCTGTCTGGACTGGTTGGTAAAGGTGTTCTCCTGTATGAGACCTGTCTGTGAAGACTGGAAAGGGAGCTGTGTTATCTGGTGCACAGACACCAATGCTGAGAGTATTAAGGAAGATAAAGAAATATGTTCCAAATGTTACCCACACAACAGGCGGGTTAGTCACTTGTCAAGTGTCAACCCCATGAGCACAGCCAGGGGGGATTTAGCAAGAGTTCATCTCTTGCAGAGAGTAAAGAGAACACTGGGCAATCCCAAAGCAGTCCTTCCTCAAGCTGGGAACTGGGTCAGGTTTTATAAGCATAGAGTAACGAGACACCATCTGATTGGATCTTGTAATGAGGTGATGCTGGAAAGCATGCTCTGACTGGATCCTGCCATGGAGTGAGACCAGAGTTCCATCCAGTTGGATCCTGGATCCTGCCACTGTGTGCCCACTTTTTAATTCAGCCTGTGTACCTCAGTCTGAACAATTGGGTTTTCCCTGTGGTTGCGTACTTGGTTCACCTGGCCATGCTCAGGTTATATGACCTGAGGGTCCATGACAACTGAAGAACAATTCACAACTTTGTTACTACAAAAGCTGAACCATGGAAGTCTACTGCTGTACTATTCACAATAGCCAAACATGGAATCAATGTAGATGCCTATCAACAGCAGACTGGATAAAGAAAATGACCCATGGTCATAAGATGTTTACAGCTAAGGAAGTGTAGTAATGCCTGCAAGGACAAACGCCTACAATAGCAGAATGTCCAGATGTCCCAATGTCACATAACAGTACATGCTTTTAAGATAGCTATAGTCAGACTTTGATGTATTTATGCACTAAAATGACAAGGGTAAGTTTCTTTATATCAACAAAGTACTAAGTTGTGTCACACTGACAGCCTACTCACATGTAGGCATAACTTAGCTTCTACATATAAAAGAAGGCTTTAAAACAAAGACAGCTTTCTGAGGCTGCCCTCCTCTTACTTTCTGAGGATGCCCTCCTCTGTAATTGAGCAACTTTCCATAAATCACCTTTCAACTGATTTAGGTGGGTCTTGAGAGTCCCAAAGTTAGTGAGTGTGGGCTTTCCAGGAACTCAGAGGAGGGCGGCTCTCTTTTTACAGCTCTACCAGGCAGCATCCCAGTGGGGGATCTCTGCACTGTCCTAGCAGAGGTTCTTCAAGAGGGATCCACCCCTACGGCAGTCTTCTGCTTGGATATCCAGGTGTTTCCAGGTGTTATACACATCAACTATATATAACAAGTTATGATACATCCATAGGGAAATTCGGTAAAGAGTTTCTAATTTGGCAACTGTAGACATAACTGTTTGGCTTGCTACAAATCCATTTTCTGTGTGTGTAGATGCTGGCACTACCGACTCCATTGTCATTCAGGTAGGCACATTGTCCAACTCCTCTGATAGGAAACCTAAAACCAAACACAAAAATATTAAACATTTGGAAGTTAGACACCTGCATTTGTTCCTCCCCTCCCATCTTCTGCACCCCCTCCCTATTTTAATGTGAATAAGAGAAAAGTAAAACTCTGTCATTAATATTGCTTCATAGTATTATAAACCATTTCTGTATTTAGTGTCTTTTATGTTCTCAAGGTCTTTGCTTGAAAATCACAAGCTTATCATTCATCCATACCAAGCCCAGCCATGTTGATAGGTATTTAACTGATGCTTGCTGCTGCACCCACATGCACTGCTGCCATTGGTGGTCTTCAGTGAAGATGATTTCCAGTCTCCTCAACTGTTTCATAAATGTGTAAAAGTAAAAACAAAACAAAACAAAAAAACAGAAGATTCCTAAAAAGGCTTAGCTTTGATTAATGGATATGACTGAGTTCCTATATTTTATCTGCTGCAATGTGATGATTATATTCAAAATACCCCACTGAAATGTTCACAGTCCAAATAACTGTTACTAGTTTCCTTCTGGTGACAAAACTTCAGGAGTGAGGGATTCCCTTGAGTTCCCTGGATGCTTCGCTATTGTGAATGGATGCAACAGCTGGAAGAGTGGGCCTAACAGCCTTGTGGATATCAGCTCCTCAGTGGTGTCCTACGATTGTAGAACACTTATTGTAAATCAGTTAAAAGTAGGGATTTCAGCAGTTTTAGATCAGTGAATTAAAGTGTAAATTTGTGCCAAATGTCATTGTCACGTTACTGAAATCACAGTTAAGTTTTCCCGAAGACACAGTTAATAAATAGAAGAGTATAAAAAGGGTTTAGATTTCTTACCTCATATTGCAGTAAGCTTTCCATGATACATTTCTCATCTGATAAACACAACTCACACACATAACCACACATAAACAGAGCAGAAAGGTAAGTCTCAAAACATACGTGTTATTATATTCTGTGTTGTCTGTCCACCTCCAAATGCCATCGGATGATTCTCTTCTAAGGCCAATCCAATGGTCAGAAGGGCCTTTGTATCTTTTCAGGAAATTCTATAATAAAACAGAAAGTAATACCATGTGTCCCTTTCTTCTACATTACTCTGGAGTCTCTCTTCCCTATCCCTTCTCTTTTTGACTGGCAGCGTGGTATAATTAAGCAGCATACACTCTGGAGTGAGACTAATTCCCAATTCTCAGTTTAAGTCATTTAATGTCCCTGATCCTAAATTACTTTATTTAAAGTAAGCATATATCCCAGTTTGACTGGGAAATTCCCAGTTTAAGCTTGTCATTCCACCTATATATTAATGCTCACTTTCAATACCCTATGTGTCTCAATCTAGATGACAAATTATATAATTATCTTAATTCTTAATAGAATGAAAACAATACAACTCATCTTGCAGGTTCACCATGAGAATTACATGAGAAAACATATCTAAAATATCTCACAGGGTTCCAGGCAGAGAACACATCCTTAACAAATGTTGGGCATGAAAACACGTCTCATGCCCCTGGAATGGGATCCTTCCTCGTATTTCAGCTTTAACCCTATGTAGCTGACCTGCCTCAGGGGCCTAAGTTATCTGACAGAAAACATGATTCAAAAATATCTCTTACCAGTTCTTCCATAGTTGCAAACTGAGCGAGGCTGGCTTCTAATGAAACACAGAAGACTTGACTGAATGTCCAATTTCTTGTGTCTTCAGAAAAATAAAAACATTTACTCCCAAATCCAATCCAGCTTTTTGGGCAAGCAGCGTACTTAGGTGACTCCATCACTGGCTTTTCTTCTCTCACTAAAACTGAGACAATCACATTGAAACATAATAAATAAATTTTCTTATCCCTTTTATCTATTTTTCTGCTTATCTTCCTGAGGTCAATTTTGAAGTGTACACATCTGATTGTTGTTTTCCTAACTCACCACATAGTGCCTTATCCTAAGCACAACAGTTATCAGTCCAGTGGTTTTCAGCTGGGTACCTTCACGCTTGACTTTCTGAAGTTTACGCTGACATTACAGTTTCAAGGCAATCAATTTCTATAGCATTGACTTCCATAGTACTGTACTTTCACAGGGCCATGTAGATGATTTTTCCATCTCCTCCCTCATATTAGCCTTCCTTCCTCCTGACAAAGCCATTTGAGGACCTATTGCCTCTATATACAAGACATGAGGTTTGTTTGTTTGTTTTTAATCTATATGGTTCTCCGTGCTTTTGTGCATTCTCAATCTGCTTAAGTAGAAGACACCAGTTCTTAAGGCCAGATGATTTGTCTGAAAACATTTCAAGTAGAGATATTACTTTATTTTTAATAAAAATGACAATTCTGATAGGAACTTGTCAGGAAATAGCTCCGTAAGTGAAATTCCTATCCCCATAGCTTTCTCATATCAATGAATGGCAAGTGCATTCTTGCCAAGGCTCAAAAGAAAAGAGAGACTTATCTTTTACTTTTCTCTAAGACTTTTTATCCAATTTGATAAAAAATACTGTTGGCCCAGCTTTCCAAATATCCAGAATCTGACCACCCTCCCCCACCTAGTCCCAATACAGCAATCAAGTGATTATTCTACAATGGAAGTCACATCACGATATTCCTCTCATACAATTTCCCTCATTCAAGGCTCCCTATTGCACTGAAGGTAAAAGCCAAAGTCTTTAACTGATCCTCAAGGTTCCTCCATTCCTAATGCCCCATGGTATCACTCTTCTCCATCCTCACTCTGCTTCACCTACAGAAGTCCCCTTGCTGTTCCTCAAACAAGCCAGGAAGAGTCCTCCTTTAGGCTTTTGGTCCACATGTTCTGTCTGGAATAGGTTCCCCAGGTAGCCACATGGTTCCTACATCTCTTTCAAAAGGTTGCTGAAATATCATCTTCCAAGGAGGCTTAGCTTTGTCAACCTATTGCAACCTGTTACGCCTCCACCCTTATTTATTATTACTTGCGTTTTTCTGCTGGAATATAAGTCCCTGAAGAGCAGGGATTCTTTTGTGTGTGTTTTGTTTGTTGATGTAATTCAAGGATTTCATCCAGTGACAGGCAAATAATGGAGCTTAATAAATATTTATTGACAACATAAACATGTAAATAACATTGTACAGTTTGGAGAACAAGTAACTTACCCGACAAAACAATAGAAAGTGCAACCACACTTGTAGTCAGAACTGCAATGATGAACAGGCAACAATAAACCTTGACAGGAGTTACTGGAGACATAAGTGCTAGGCATTTTCTTTGCAGAGTTTTACCTGTAAAATACAAATATCAGAATCTCAATCTCAGGAAGATCGTAGGGAGAAAATGTATCACACAATCAACACAAGCTTAGCTGTACTTCAACTCTCCTATTGCCAACTCCTTTCACAAAAGGTCTTGGTTCAAAAATGAGAAAGATGGCCCAAAGAGGGCTAGAGATAAAAATCAAATTGTCCCCATCCTCAGGGAATCTTCCAGTTATTGGAAAAAGAGTAGAAATTGGGATGAAAAAGAAACAGTAACAATCCAGATTTAGTCTCTTAGTAAAACAGCTGGTTAGAAGCAACGAGGAAAACAGAAAATGAATCAATGTAATTCACCATATTAATAGAATGAGAAAGGGACAACATATGAGCATCTGAATCAATGCAGCAAGAGTATGTTAAAAACTTCATATTCATCCACGATAGCAGTCTCAACAAATTAGAAACTGAAGAACCTTCTTCAACCTGATAAAGGGCATCTACAGAAAAACTACAGCTAGCACCGAACTTGATAAAAGAATGAATCCCAGTGACAAGGAATAAGGCAAAGATGTCTGCTCTCTCTCACCAATCCAGTTTAACACTTTGCTGGATGTCCTATTAGGGACAAAAAGATAAGAAAAAAGAAAGAAATGTCATACAGGTTCGAAAGAAATAAAAGTGTTGTTCTTCACAGACGACATAGTTGTTCTGCATATAAAATTCTAAAGAATCTACCGAACTGCTACCAGAATAAATGAATTTGGCAAAGTTACAGGATTAGCTATGTTAATATATAAAAATATATTTTCATATATTCATAATTATGAAGTGGAAATTTAAGTATAAAAACAATGCCATATATAATAACACAAAAGACTATTATAAATATATCAAAATATGTTTAGGATCAGTATGATGAAAGCTACAAACCAATGGGACAAGGAAATCAAAGCAGACTTGAATCAACAGAGCGATATAAGATATTCATAGACTGTAATATGAAATATTCTGTATGTCAATTATATCCAAAAAGGTTTAGAGAGTCAGCACAATCCTGATAAACACTGCAGTATGAATTTTTTTATAGAAACAAGCAAAGTAATCTTAAAATTATATGGAAAAGCAAAGAACTAGAATAGCCAAACAACTTTGAAGAAAAAATGGCCAAATTTGGAAATCAAAGAACCTGCGTTCATAATTTACAAAGTAATAGAAACAAAGACAGTATGATATTGACAAAAGAACAGACCCATAAATCAATGGAACAGAAAAAGGATTTCAGAAACAAATCCAAGCATGGACGGTCACTCGACATTCGACAGAAGTGGAAAGAAATCAGGCAGGTAAGGGGCAGCATTTTCTGAACATGTAACGCTGGAACAATTGAGTATCCTAATGCAAAACAGTGAACCTCAACTCACACCTAATACCTTATAAGAAAATTAACTCAAAATAAATCTCAGATTCATATATGACACCTCCAACTCTAAAACTATTCAAAGGAAAGAGGAAAATAAAATATTTGCAAACTCGAATTAGGAAAAATTTCTTAGATACAATACCAAAAGCATTATCAATATTTAAAAAACTGATAAATTGAATTTAAACATAATTAAGACTCTCTATGAAAAAAAAAAAAAACCCTGAAAGGGGAATAAAAAGACAAGCAAAGGCAGAAAAACATCTTTCTAAAAATCGACTTGTATCTAGAATATATTAAGAACTCAAAACTCAACAATAAGAAAACTAAATTAAAAATGGAGCCAACTATTTGGAGATGCACTTTATTAAAGATATAAGAATGGAGAATAAGTACATAAAAACATGCTTGAAATAACCAGCCGTTTGAGAACTACAAATTACAACCATAATGAGTGACTACTATGTGCTTATTAGCGTGGGAAACAAAACAAAAAAGAAACAAACCAACCGCTGGTGAGGAAGGGATGTGATATGGTTTGGATCTCTGTCCCCACCCAAACTTTATGTTGAATTGTAATCTCCAGTGTTGGAGGTGGGGCCTGGTGGGAGGTGATGGCATCATGGGGGCAGATTTCCCTCTTGGTACTGTGTCGCAATAAGAGTGAGTCCTCTTGAGATCTGGTTGTTGAAAACTGTGTGCTACCCTCCCCCGCTCCCTCTCTTCTTCCCACTCCCGCCAAATGAAGGGTGGACTCCCCCTTTGCCTTCTGCCATGAATTGTTAAGTTTCCTGAGGCCTCTCTAGAAGCTGAGCAGATACCAGAATCATGTTTCCTGCCCAGCCTGTGGAATGGTGACCCAATTAAACCTCTTTTCTTTACAGATTACTCAGTCTCAGGTTACTTCTTTATAGCAGTGCCAGAATGGACAGGATGCATCTGGAATTTTCATGCATCATGACTGGAAACACAAAATGTTATAGGCACTCTGGAAAACAGTTAAGCAGTTCGTTATCATAAATGTAAATGCACCACATGCCCTGGCTATCCTATCCCTAGGTATTTAGGCAAGGAGAGTAAAAACTTGTGTTTACACAAAAACCTGCAAGGAGTATTTACATCCGCTTCATTCATTGTCAGAAAAACTAGCAACAACTCAGAAATGCTTCAGCTGGTAAAGAGGTAAACAACTATTCTTCAGTCCTAATAAAAGAAAAACTTAATCACACATTCAGAATTGCCCGTTTCTTACTGTGTGTTAGCTCGCCAAACTTTTGTCAAGTTTTTCTCCTCCTGACAGACCCCAAATGGGTTTGCCTGCAAGTTTGCCTAACAAGCCCCAAAGCACAGACTTGGAAAAAACATCCTGCCTTACCCTGACTACAAAACACCATTTCCTGTTGAAATCCCTAGACTTCTTCCCCTGCTTTCTCCCACACCATTAACGTATTTTCAAAATCAATGTTACTTCTATTGCAACAGTCCTTTTGAATAAAGTTTCTCCCTATCTAAGCTCAGACTTGTTTTTCTTCGACACATGACACATACTATAATACAGATGACTTGCAAATGTATCATTGCTAAGTGAATAAAGTCAGATTCTACATTTACCTACTGCAGGATTCCGCTGATATGACATTCTGGAAAAGCCAAAGTGCAAGAACAAAAAACAGATCAGTGATTGCCAAGGGCTGGGGGTGGAGGAAGAGACATTCTACACAGGAGCATGAGGGAATCTGGAGTGGGTGGGTATGGCTTGATATCTTGACTCTGATGGTATTACATGAATATATGTTTATCAAAACTCATAGAAATGTACACCAAAAGAGTGATTTTAGAAATTCACTCATAGAAATTCACACCAAAAGACTGAATTTTACTGAATATAAATTGTAGTATTTTAAAAGTCCCTGCCAACTTATTTTCGTTTAACATACATCTCCAAGAATAACAAGGAGTTTCAGCTTAGATTCTAGACAGGGAAAAAGATGGGTAAGATGGATGATCTTAAGCAGTAAATATTGTTTGGATTTTTGCTCATCTAAAAATCTCAACCTTTATTCTTTCTGGTTCCACACGAATGCAAAATTGTCTTAAAGGTTCAGAATACTAAGACTTCCATAATTCTTTTTCATTCTTACTAAGTGAATATGTAACTCTCCCCTTAAAATTTCCCCCAAATCTCCCATTTGCCTATCTTACTAACCTTCTAAATGTTCCTAGTATTCTTCTCCTTTTTTACATCTCTAGCTCCTCCAACTAATATTGAGACAGCCAGGTGGGAAGGGGTCCCTAGAGAAACTCCAACCAGCCTGCCCACTGAGGTGGAGCCTTGGGAAGTTCACAAGGTTTGCAGCAGGAATAAGCCTGGGCCTGGCCCCTCTTTCTCCTGTGTGGAACCTGGAATTCAAACTGCCGGGTGGTAAGCGCTCTAGCAGAGGTCCTCTGGCCTTGCGAGAGTACTTGTTTCCCCCACTTTTTCCCTTTTTCACCCAATAAAACCCTGTTTCACTCACCCTTTAAACCATCTGCAAGCCTGAATTTTTGTGGCCGTGGGACAAAGAATCTCGTTTTTAGCTGAACTATGGAAAAGCCCTACAACAATATTCCCACATGCATCTTGTTCCATTTCTCTCTCTTACTTATTTCTCTTCTATCTTTCTTATGGTGTGTCCTGACTCCTGCAAATTCATATCACTCTTAAAGTACACACTGAACACAATACCCTTCAGATTTCTAGTTGGAAAAACAATATTAGGAATTATGCCTCAGAGGAACAAAGAAATAAACCATATTACTGGTCAAATTTTAACTCAGTTTCAGGATCCAAAAACAACACAATGCATCTTAAAAAACAAGTTTCACAGCTGCACCAAGTAGCAAATATTTAGTTTCAGTTCTGTAAATATTTTGCTTAGTTAGTTTCAGTTCTGGAAACATTTCAGTTAGTCCATACAATCTTTAGAACATGTCTGTTTAAATAAGAACCCTGGGCAGAGTCGGGTCTGGCAGAGTTTGGAGGGAAAAAAAAGTACCCTGTTTTCTATGAAATGCAGTATCCTGAATTCCTGAATAAAAGGAAATTTAATAAATAAAATTGAGGGAGGAGGGGAGAAAGAAAGAAAAAAAAAGAATGAAATAACTTTTTTCAAAAGCAAAAGAGGTCAGTAAAGGTATCCTTTCTACTGAACTGAAGCACAAACATACACTCAGTACACGGTTGTTCTTTCTCAGAAAATCTGCCATATATTGAAATGCTAAAGGGTTTGCTGGTGGGCAGGGTCCGCTTCTCACTCTTACCCTCAAATCTCCACATCTCTTTTTAATTACAAAGGATCTATAAATCAAAAGCCATGGATCAATAAATGCAAAGCCCCTGTGTTTGCAGGGCAACACCTAACAAAAATAGCACTAACAATATAAACACAAAGAACATTTTTTTCCTTCATCTTCTTATAATCTAATTTATTGTTCATTTCTCTTCCCCAGAGGTATTTAAGTAACGTACACAGTACAATAACTGATGTAGCAATTACACATCTATTCTCCAAACCATCCCTATTGCAAACATATCACTTTTACAGAGACTATCAAGTGCTAATGCTCCTAAAACCCAGCTTCCTTCATGCTGCAGTGGAAGAAAAGTTGCCTCTATTTTTTCAAATGCCATCAATTACATTACCAGATTCTCCCTCTTCCAAGCCATCTCTGAATGTAAGGTCTATTTTTAACATTTTCTGTGATGTCTCTGTAGCTGTCATCTTGTAGCTTAGCGGAACAGATTAGAAAATGCCTTTAGAAAGGAAGCTGAAACCGAGCCATCAACGGTTTGGTATGTGGTGACGTTGAAATGATTTGCTTAACTCTTACCATGAACTCACGGAATGCTCTGGATAAGCGAATAATTCAAATATCACCAGATATGAGGAGATAATTCAAAGATTACCAGATTCAGGGATAACACTGGACACAAGAAAAAAACCTTATAGATATCATTAAACATCCACCATGATGGCTAAAACAAAAAGACTAATATAAATATTTTTAGGGGAATGTGCTACTACTGGAGCTCTAATACAGTGCTGGTAGGAGAACAAATCTAACAACATAGAGTATCTATGTAATACTCTCTGACATAACTACCAAAGTTAAACATAACCAAATCCTGATCTAGTAATTCTACTCAAGTATATTTCCCCATGAAACACACATATATACACAAAAGAACATGCACAAAGTGGTCATAATAGCATTACTTGTAGCAAACCTGGAAACTCAAATTCCCATTACAAGTAGAATGGAGACATATTGCATATTAATACTATGAAATAATATACAACAATAAACAGGAAGAAATTCCTACTATAGGTAACGCCATGGATGAACTCAAAAACATAGTATTTAGCACAAGAACTCAGACACTACTGCATACACCTTGAACTGTTACACTTATATAAAGTTTAAAACAGATAAAAGTATCTGTGAAGATTATTTTGTGAAACAGGAAGGAAAAAGGTGACTGGCAAGGTCCAAAAGGGTTTGACACTGCTGGTAAAATTCTATTTCATAAGAAGAGTAGTGGTTGTATGGATGGTGCTCACTTTGTGAGAATTAAGTATACACTCGTGATATATAACTGTTCACTATGCTAAATAAAAGTATTTACTGAATAATACCTGTATTAAAAATACAGAAAACAATACCTGTATTAAAAAAAATAAAATAGCACACATTAAATGCATCAGAAGAAAAGTGTAAAAATTGGTAACAATGATATTACAAAGGTAGGTTAGTGACAGTAAATGGCCATGGATACAGCCACTGGGGACCCATGAAAGTAACTGTGCAATGGTGTATTAGTAATCAACACTGTAATTTAGAAGGTTTAGTGGTGCACTGCTTCCAGGACGGAAAAAGAAAAAGAAAGAGAAAGAAAGGAAAGAAGAAAGAAGGAAAGGAAAGGACAAAGGAAAGGAAAGGAAAGGAAAAAGGAAAGGAAAGGAAAGAAGGAGGGAAGGAAAGAAAGAAAGAGAAAGAAAGAGAAAAGAAAAGAAAAAAAGGAAAGAAAGTGTATGCCTTTGCAGGACTAACAAATTAGCTACAAGATTAGAAATTACAGTTTAGGGGTCATGCAGTCTCTGGCTCCAACAGTCTGAATCTCCCCAGATTGTTCCTGGGGATAGCATCAGTATTGTAAAACCTAAGGTCAGTGCTTGAGATATTTTGCAGACCCTGCACTCCATGGATCACCTGACACTACCCAGACCTGTAATCTGGCCCAACCAATTCTGCCATCCCACCCAAGAACAGAAGAAAGCAAAAAAAAAAAAAAAAACTCATTTTGACCTCCTGTGATTCTATCTCCAACCTGACTAATCAGCACTGCCCACTTCCCATGTCCCTTCTGCTAACTCATCTTTAAAAAGTCTGATCCCTGAATGCTCCCAGAGACGGATATGAGGAGACAGATTTGAGTAGTAACAAAACTCCCGTCTTCTGCACAGCCGCCTCTGCATGAATCTCTTTCTCCATTGCAATTCCCTCGTCTTGATAATCGTCTCTATCCAGGCAGCAGGCAAGGTGAACCCACTGGACGGTTACAACAGCACCGCGAATGCTGAGCTAAGAGCACCGTGTTACAAAAACCGTGGCACACCTCCCTTAAAAATAAGTTTCCCAAGAAAGGTGGGAAGAAAATAAGGGGCTCAGGCCAGCTGCAAGTAGATGCCTATCTTCCAAATAAAACGCCAAGCCCTCTTGAGATCACAGCACGTGCGCGTTTCCCCCCCAGGCTGGACGGACAAGCGGGATCAGAGAGAGTTGTGTGGGGCGAGGGCGGCTGGGTGGCCCTGAAGCAGGCCCCTGGGATCCCGTTTCCCTCTCCCTGTCCTTCCAAAAGCCTGTAAGCCACAGACACCCGTGTCCTGTCCAGGGGACACCCCTTCTCAGGTCCCCCAAAGTTCTGCAAACTCTGATGGCAAAGGCAGGTCAGAGGCCCGAGACGTGGGGAGGCATCGCACAGGTTTTTCTTCCATGGCCTGGTCGGAGCGGATGCTCACCCAACTGAGAAGGCCCTGGCGCGGTCACACTGGGTAAATCGAGGCGAAGGCGCTTTTTTGGCGCTCCTGGTGCCGGCTTCTTTACCCCAAGGCAGAGGCGCTGCAGAAACGGCTGGGAAGCAGGAAGGGAGGAGCGTTGCGGCTGCGGGATTCGCGGCTACTACTAAGCGGGCGCCCAGTGGGCTTCTAGGCTCTCTGGCGCTCACCCCTTCCGGTCCCCGCGCCGACCCGGGCCCCCACCTACGGAACCCCTTCCGGTCCCCGCGCCGACCCGGGCCCCCACCTACGGAACCCCTTCCGGTCCCCGCCATCTTCTGGCCTCAAGTCCGCGCCGCAGCCCCGGGGGCGGGGGACGGGGCGGGAGGCGAGACTGCGCCCAGCATGGCCCCACCTCCGCAGCGCCCCGGAGAGATCCGCCTGGGGCTGGATCCCCTGCCTTCCATTTCCCCGGCAGCCGCTGGCGCCTGTGACCCGAGCAGGAAGCCCAAATCGACAGGAAGGTAATTCCTGGACTACCTGACCCACATCCGGCAGGGACGTGACCGTCCTCCAACTGGGAGCGCAAGGCCGGGTCTGGCGGATCCTTTCCGGTGATAAGGACACAGAGACGCCCTTGTCCCATGTCCCTCGTTTGGAGGCAGAGCCCAGGGATTGGGGGAACCCGGTGGAGGCCTCGACCCAGAGCCGATTCCCACCCTGGGGCACAGGAGCGTTTTAGGTGGTGAAACTATTCTATGTGTAATGGTGGATATGTTATAGGAGCAGAAAGAACTCATTTCGGTTGACAGGGTAAAGCGAGTCTCAGGTAGAAAACCGGACAAAAAGCAGCTCAAAAATAGCTCCCTTTCTAACCTCAGGCCACTCAAAGAAATCACTTCTAACAACAAGCGCCTGAACGAGCAGACAGTAAAACACAAGTAAGACAGCTCAGACACAGAAGGACTGGGGCGGGTGCGGGGAGTCTCCTGGCTAAATCACCAAGCTTCACACTTACACGGTGGACCCCAGTAAAACAGTAGGCCATAATAAGCAGGTTCCTTTCCCTTTAGGGGCACCAAGATGCCTACAGCTGCAAGATGTAGGGGAACAGACACAGAAACTCTCCCTCCCAAATAAGCAGGACCAAAAAAACACGGACTAAGAGTCTATGTGGTCAGGGAATGGGATAAGAGCTGATAAAAGACTGCTCTGTTCATGTAGTACACCTGGTCCCAACTAAACCCTGGGGCCCTAGGAGGATCAGACATCCCCTGCTCACGAGCCCCCTCCTCACTGGCCCATTTATAAAAACCCTGACATTTTTACTACAACTTGGCAGTAGGCTTGGGACCCCTGTTGTAATAGAGACCAGTTTTTCCTTTTGCCTATTAAACTCCTGCTCCAAACTCACTCTGTGTGTGTGTGTGTGTGTGTGTGTGTGTGTGTGTGTGTGTGTGTGTGTCCAAGACCTCAACTTCCTTGGCCATGAGACCAGAAATCTTGGTATTTACCCCAGACAATGAGGCTGCTTCAGATACATCTCATACATTTGTCAAACCCACAGAATATACAACAGAAAGCGGGAACCCTAAACGATGGACTTACTCATAATGTATCAATATTTTTTTCATCCAGACAAATCGTACAACACTAATGGGAGACATTAATCATAAGGGAAATTGTGTAGGAGGAAGAAGTGATCCATGAGAATTCTGCACTTGCCCTCGATTTTTCCACAACCCTAAAACTATTCTAAAATAACCTGTATTAATTATTTTTAAAAATTAGATGACTTTTTTGTCAATGTTATGATTGTTTTTAGCTGTGACATAAAAATCTATAATCATCCTTCAATATAACTTATAATTTGTTGCCACATACAAATAAAAAAAATTACACATATATATCCTGCACCACTGGATATAGTAGGATTAGAATTTTCTTACATGATCATGAAACAGCCTTGATCACATTTCAGAAGTAGTACCTTCTGCATATGGATATCCAGTGTTCCCAGAAACATTTATTGAAGAGACTGTCCTGTCCACAATGAGTGTTTTTGATACGTTTGTCAAAAATCAGTTGACTGTAGATACATGAATTAATTTTTGGGTTCTCTATTCTGTTCCATTGGTCTATGTGTCTTATCCTAGTACCATACTCTATTAGTCCAAATGCTTATGATAAAGACATACTCAAGACTGGGTAACTTATAAAGAAAAAGATATTTAATAGGCTCACATTTTCACATGGCTGGAGAGGCCTCACAATCATGGCAGAAAGCAAAATGCACATTTTACATGGCAGTAAACAAAACAACTTGTACAGGGAAACTCTGCTTTATAAAACCATCAGATCTTGTGAGACTTACTCACTATGATGAGAACAGCACAGGAAAGACCTGCCCCCATGATTCAATTACCTCCCATCACATCCTTCCCATGACACATGGGAATCGTGGGAGCTACAATTCAAGATGAGATTTGATTGGGGACACAGAGCTAAGCCATATCATTCCATCCCTGGCCCCTCCTCACATTTCAAAACCAATCATGCCTTCCCAACAGGCCCCCAAAGTCTTAACGCATTTCAGCATTAACTGAAAAGTCTACAGTCCAAAGTCTCATCTGAGACTAGGCAAGTCCCACCTATGAGCCTGTAAAATCAAAAGTAAGTTCATTACTTCATGGCCAGGCTTCACAGAGCCGAGAATAAAATCTCATTTTCACATTTAGAGGAAAACACAAGAAAAGTCAGCAAATGAGAAACTGTGGCCCTTGAAGTGAGAAGAACGGTAGAATACAGTAATGTATTTTAGGAAGGTATAAGGGAAAGACACTGAACAGGGGTTACTTTGTTTATAGGATTACTTTTCAGTGGTTTCAAGTGTAGAGGA